CCATACCTGTCTTTTGGAGCGTCAACGGAGATCTCCACGAACAGAAATGACGATTTTCTTACGCTGTACCTTTCTGTCCAGGCTCAAAGTCCATTCATTTCAGTTTTTTTACTTTTCTCGGCCTGAACACAACGTCAAGGGTATTTAAAAGAAGCTCCGTGTAGCTTGTTGGCAGCTGCTCCAAGGGTTTCAAACCCTGCTTTGATTGGACAAAAATCAGCAATTTTACGACGAAAATATAAGTGTACCTATCTTCACTGTCCAGCACTGTATTCCGGTGGAAACTGCGACGTGGCACTGGTTTTTCATGTCACTCCCGCATGCAACACAAACTTCCCACTCGGGTCCAAGTCTGTGTGATGTCGAAACCCGACAAAGTCTCTCACGCGGAAAGACAACACGGTGGGTTACGATTCTCGACTTTGTATGATATTTGACCCACGTCAACTCGTCCGCCACCAATTGCGCTGGCCTACATACTCTACGCTAGTTTCGAGATCTTGAGTGCTGGAAAGGTGACAAGCTGGCAGGTTTGACGGCAGGCTATACACTGACCAAGATGCTACAGCTTGCAACAGAGGACACGCTGCGTTCGACCTGTATGTGGTAGATTCCTGCGCGTAATTCTTATTCTAACGGCGCTGCTTGGCACCTTCCAAGTTGCTTGTGCTTTAAGGTTTTCATGGCAGGCTCAGGTATTCGCCAAGGCGGCCGTTGGCAAACCCGCCCGCTCGGTTCTGCGCATGTTCCAGAGTCCCTGACGCCTTGTCCTCCTTCTCGGGGGAAACGTCTTCTTCGCGGAGCCATTCGTCCGCCGTGTGGTACAGCGACAGTTGGCTGCGTCCAGCCAGTGGGACGTTGGCGAGCGCATCAAAAAAGTGCACATGCCCCGACCGCAAGTACATGACGTGGGATGCCCACTCTTCCATGCCATCAAATACGTGCGACGCCAATATCACCTGCGGTAACAGTCATGTTGGTCGTGATGGCGTGAGGTGTACCGTGGCTTTCAGTGGGCCTTCGCTCTCGCGTCGAAGGAACGCCAGTAGGTTTACGCGCGACACGATATCCAAACTGCCGAGCACTTCATCGAGTACAATAAGTTCGGACGGCCACAACAGCGCCAGGAAGAGTTGCACGCGGCATCGCTGGCCCGTGGATAACTATGCAGTCCTGCGGTCACTCGGTGTCGATTCACTACACAAATGCATGGCGAAGAGGATGAGGGGCTACCTTGTACATGCGCCACGACGTGTCGATGCGGAGGCAGCTGAGCAACTCGCGGCGGCGATCTGGGAAGGTCGTTTGCAAGGCGACCATCATGTCTGCGACAGCAATGTCGGCAGAGTACGCTGCAGCGTGCGAGGCGAATGCAATGGACCGTGTACCCCAGTCGGCCGCTGCCATCGTGCGCTGGAGGTTGAGTCGGGTGTCGCGGAAGCTGTCGCGACGTCCCAATTGCCAGCACATTCCTAGATGGCGCTGAAGTTACATCCGGGATCAACATTACGTCGTCGAGGAACCTGAGGTTGGCAAGTGTTTGCCACCAACGATCTTTAGCAGGGTGCTTTTCCCTGCGCCGTTGCCACCGATCAAGAGAATGCGCTGCCCCTTCTGCAACGAGCAGTTGATGTCCTTGAGCACATGGCCAGCGGTGTAGTCGACGCCGGCGAATTGCTCGATGTATTCGAAATTGAGGTTGTCGAACTGCGCAACAAATAGGGTTAAACATGGGTGAACACGGCAACGAGCCTTCGTCGGAGTGTACCTCGACAGACGCTGCGGGCATGGTAGTGGCAGGGGTGTGTTGAGAGCTGGTCTCCGATATGAAAGTGAACGTCGCGAACTCGGTTTCGGTCACATTGCCGTGGACTTCGGCGCACGTCGCATGGAACAATCCATCGAACTGGACAAAATGCTGCAATGATTCGATAAAAACGATGGATTCTATTTTTGCAGCGAATCCAATTGCTGCATTTCTGAATTTACAACCAATCATATGGATCTATCGAAAAGTGAAAGGAAGTGAACAACTCGGCCACATCAGTCTCCAAAACACGGTGAAAACACAGAAGTACACTAGTGGCATCGATATCGCGAATTGCAAGGACGGATTCTGCTCTAGTTGCCTAGCTGGAAAGCAATGCCGTCTTCCTTTCCCTCAACGGTCATTGACTATGAGTTCTGCACCGTTCAAGGACTTGTCATACTGTCCGACGATGAACTTATCATCGTGATCGAGGCGACACTGCCTGCCTTCGTCGCCGACCGATCGATGCAGTCTTGGAAACGCTGTACTGGCTGCGTCGAGATGCGCCTTGTTCCTGGCTACGGCAGGTGCCTACGTGTCATGTGAGTGTGTCGGAGACCTTTCGGCGTACACCCAGCCAACGACGATGGCACATGCGAGCGCACGTTTCCACCTCGAGTTGCGATTCAACCCTCCAGAGAGCATGCTGCATTCAGGTAGTTCAAAATGCGAACGGCGACGGCAGTGCATAGCTGTTGGTGGATGTGGTAGCGTACGTTATGGTGCATTCGACATTTCAAGTTTGGCGACGACTGGTGCTTGCCAGCAACTCCTGCACAGTGATATCGGACCACGTGCCTTGCTTCGTCGTGTATTCTGTCATCTTTTCAAACAAGTGTATTGTACCCAGCAGACCGTGTGCTCGGTCGGGTGGTCGTGGCGGGCGACCGTATGAGTGGCGAACGAACGACCGCAAGTTTTGTCGCGGTCGGTGAGGGTTGTTGGACAAGCAGCGCATCGCCATCTTGCGATTCCATTCCGGTCAGTCGGGTGAGAAGGACAAGTCGACCCTGAACGACCTTGACGAGAGTCGCCGACTCTGGGAGGCTTTCCCGCCGGACGACGAACGCTCGGGGAACGTTGTCGGTGGAAAACTCGGACAGAACAGCGCCCACGCAAGTACATGCCCATCCCCTGTTAGCCTAAGTATACGCATCACACGAGTAAATGTCGGCGGCGGATACGTATTGCTTGCCTGCAGCACTTTCGGGGGCCAACCATCGGGATGTCCCGACGCCGCCGGCGTCACTTGCCCGAGCTGTTTCGACACGCCGACATCAGACATCATGATGCCTTTCGTGGAGTCCAAGTGGTTGTTTCGTGACTTGGCGTCGCGGTGGATAATGTAGTGGCTGTGGCGGCGAGGGCTCGGACGATGCCGGGTATTTATTCGCCGTCGACAAGGTACATGCAGCTGATCGATGGACGTAGGCAGCAGCGATTCCAGCTCGCCAGGGTCGTGCAAAGCATTCGCGCCGACGAAGATCGACGACAGTGGAGATAGCTATGACGATCAAGGTGCGCAGTGTCGACGGCAGAGTCGCAGCGCATTGTATACTGCTGTGGTCGGGACGAGAACGCAGAAATCGTCAGCATGGATTCGCACAGCGTTGTGAGGGACGCTGCGGACCATTCAAACGAAAGTGGGAACGCCACGTGCATCGTGGCCAACAAAGTACAGGCGCAGCAGTCGGTCGCTGCAAGGCTCACAACGGGTGAAGGAGGACGTACATGCCAGAGATGTGTAAACCAAGCCGCATCGACAAGCTTTGCTTGTCCACTTCCCTGAATGCCCCCCCTACACACGACGGACAGTGGGTACAGCGACCGAAATCGTCGTGGGAATCTTTCCACATGCATAAACGTCTGGTTCAAAGAGATGCCGATGTAATCCCCGATAGCGTCCCAATGCACGGTCCATGGCCGGTTCGAGGAATTCGTACCCGCGACACTGGTGGTGTCGGCTGCCGCGTTATCATGGCACATACGTTGGGCTCCACACTGCACTCCGAAATTCTCGAGCGCTGTGTACTCGCAGCCGTCCGCCATATCGCCGACACATCCATGCAGACACAGCCCCGTCGCCATCGCCACGAGTGATGCCGTATACGGCGGAGACACATCGCGGCGGTGCCACTTGCTGTCGAGTTGATCGCGTTTGTTTACTCTCATGAAAGAGACATTGATTCTCCGAAGAGCTGGTAGTCACCGTCGCCAAGCTAGGGCAAGACGGCGACGGCGCCAAGGACGGATGGCACACGCGGCGCGAGTACACCGAACGTTGATTCATACGTTCTGCGCCGCGACCGGCCTCTGGACCCGCGGACCCAGTAGTATGCTTCATGCAACACGCCGCCCATGAAGCAACGCGCCATCGACGTGGCCCGCGAACACACGTCGGGAATCCATAGCGACTGTAGCCAACGTAAAGATGGACACGGAGCAGGACACGTCCTTCGCGCTTTCATGGAGCGCTGAACCGCACTCCCTCGACGGCGGCGACCAAGGTTATTCTCCGACCAAGTTTCGTCCAAAACCAAGTGAACTTGAAGCGCTGTCCGCTGCTCATGTTACGACCACTGGTATGCGCCACGTCCATCGCGGATGCAATCCCTCCACGTCCTGTTGTCGTCCCTGCGCCGATGGTTCTCCATGCGCACGTGTCGACGTTTGCATTTATGACACCATCGTTGTCACACACTGATGGCTACATCAAGTCCTTGAGGCGATTCCCCACAATAAACGAGAGCTGCATCGCGGTCGGGCGCTGTTCGGGGTCGTGCGCCAAGCACTGCTGGGCCATTTCATAAATCCAGCGCGGGCAGTCGTCTGTGAATGTCGGCTTGATCTGGCCAGACACAACCTTGAGGATGATTGCCGAGTCGACGAGGGGCTGGCCGTTGGTCGGGTTGACTAAATCCACGTACGGGACATGGTGCGTGTCAAACTCGGACAACATCATGCCTACGCACACCATGTCATGTTGTCGCCAGGGCGCGGCCGACGTACCGAGCGAGTAAATGTCGGCCGAGATTGTGTAGCCCAGGTCCTGGAGCACCTCGGGCGCCATCCATCGAAACGTGCCGACGCCCATCGTCATGGTGGCTTGAATGTCCTCTTTGCTCACGCCAAAGTCGGTCAGCTTGGTGCCCTTGGTCGAATCCAACAGCACGTTGCGCGACTTGACGTCGCGGTGGAT